ATTTTTTTCAAAAATTAAAAAAATGTAGTCAAAATTTCAATTATTTTCAAATATTTTCCTCAATTCAATTATTTTTATTATCTACTTTTTTAATAAAATTTTCCAAAAGAATTCAATTATTTTGAAAAAATTTCAATAAAATTCTACGGAAACATTTTTTATTTTCATAAATAATAAAAATTCTCAGGAACACAAATATTTTTAAATTTTTAAAAATTTCTACACAATAATTTAATTAGTTTCATAAATGATAAAATTTTTTTAGGAATTCAATTATTTTTATAAATAATGAACCTCATCGCATAATTTAAAAAATTTTTAAATTTACGACAAAATTTCAATTTATGTTTATAAAAAATATAATTCTTCTATTAAAATTCGTGAAGAGTGAATTTTTTTGAAAAAAAGAAGAATTAATTTCAAAAATTTTGATAAAATTCTTTGTAAAAATAAATAAATAACAAAATTCTTAGCAGAAATTCAATTATTTTCAAATTTTTTTTGTAAAATTCTTAGCAACAGTTTTACTATCTTCATAAATAATAAAATTCTTCTCAAGAAATTAAAAAATCGTCATAAATAATCAAATTCTTCTCAGAACTTCAATTGAATTCAAAAATATGAAAAAATTCTTTACAATAATTCATTTATATCTATAAATATTAAAATTATTCACAAAAATTTCCACTATTTTCAAAAATATTTAAAAAATTGTTCAAAAGAATTAAATTATTTCTATGAATAATAAAATTCTTCGCAAAATTTTTAATAAAATTTCTCTAATAAATTCAATAATTTTCTATGTCAATTTTAATTAAATTTTTTCGTAAAATTTGCAATAATTCAATTATTTTTATAGATTACAAAAATCTTCGCAGGAATTCAATTATTTTCAAAAATTTAAATAAAAATTTTAACAAAAATTCAATTTTTCTTAAAAATAGTAAAGTTTTTCGGAGAAATTCAATTATTTTCAAAAATTTTAATAAAATCCTTCCTAGAGATTCAATTGTTTTCGAAAAATTTTAATTAAAATCTTGACATGAATTCAATTACCTTCATTTTATTTATTTTAAGAAAAATTCAATTATTCAATAAATTATTTATTTTTGTATTTAAATAATTGAATTCTTATAGAATTTTCTAATAAAAATTGGCTTAAATATAAATTTTACTTAAAATGTTAGATAATAAATGAATATACAATCTTTATAAAATTCTTCTTGGAATTTCAATTATTTTTAAGTTTTAAGAAAATTCTTCTCAAAAATTCCACTTTTTTATATCTACTTAAATTCTTTGCTGAAATTCAATTATTCTCACAATAAAATTTTTACGTAAATTGAATTCTTTAAAAAAATTTAATATAATTCTTCTTGAGAAATCAATTATTTCCATAAATTTTAATAAAGTAGGGGAATGTAGTCAAGGTTGGCTTACTGTCTAGGTAGGCCACTCGCGTTTTTTTGTCAAGTTCACTAGCGCCACCTACGCGCATTTTTGTCGAAGCTTGTCTTAGTGAAACCTAACTTTTTGTTCAATTACATTTTCGGAAAATCGAAAATTGTGTTTTCTGTGACGTCGGTACAAAAAAAGCTGAAAAAAAGTTTTGTGCATAATGTGAAAAACCATTAATAAAAGATAAAAAACAAATTGAATCGTCAAGGCAAGTATGCAGAAAATTTGTGGGACTCATGGTTGAAAGGAAAACAAAGTAAAAAATTGAATCCCGAAACGTATTTCTTTATGGTTACAACAATTCGGTAATGTTACTTACTGTCAAGGTCGGCCACTATGTGTTTAAAATGCGCAAAGTTGAGGACGAGCTACTTCATTTGCAAAAACTGCAATTCTGTATAACTCATAATATAATTGATCATCTTATTAATATTTTTATTTAATTTTATTAATATTTTAGTGCAAAACTTTTTTTTATTTATATTTATTTTTTTATATTGTTTATTGTTATTATTTTGTTATTTCATTAAGTTACAAACTGTAAACAATAAAGAATCAATTTTCCGTAACTCCAAACATGTTATTTTATTTTTTAACGATTAATGCCCTTTGAATTTTAAACATGGCCGACCTTGACTGTAATGGCCAACCTGGACTACAAATTTTTTTTTTTTTAAATCTTTATAACTTTTTCATTTTTAAACCTGTCAATTTACTTTGTACAGAAAAAATGTTCCTATTAAACAGGACTTTCCAACCATATACTTCAATTGTCCAAATTCATTTTTAAAAAAAAGTTATAAACAAAAGTCAAAAAGGTGGCCGACCTAGACTATGTTCCCCTACTTTTTAGGAATTCAATTATTTACAATTTTTGTAAAATTCTTCTCAAATATTCAACTATTTCACAAGTTTTAAGGAAATTCTTCGTAAAAATTCAATTATTTTCACAAATAATAAAATTTTTACGGAAATTCAATTGTTTTCAGAAATTTTAATCAATTACTTGTCATGAATTCAATTAGTTTTAAAAATTTTAATAAAGTTCGGTATAAAAATTTAATTATTTTAATGAATAATAAAACTCTTCGCAGAATTTCAATTATTTTGAATATAATTTTAATTAAATTCCTTGAAAAATTTAATTATTCTAAAAAATTTACTAAAATTCGTCCAAAGAATTTAATTATTTAAAAATTTGTTGATTAAATTCTGTGTAAGAACTCATTTTTAAGAGGTAATCAATTATTCAATAAATTATTTATTTTTGTATTTAAATAATTGAATTCTCGTAAAATTTTCTAATAAAAATTTATTTAAAAATGGATTTTAGTAAAAATTTTAAGATAATACCTAATTAACTCAGGAAAAAATAAAATTAATGAACTCGTTTGGCGCGAAATTAAAAAAAGAGATAAATTTAATTAAGAATATATTTATACTAATATCATAAATTAAAATATATAAAAAAAATAGTGTTGATAATAATTGAATTTCTGCAAAAAATTTTACTATTTATCAAAGTAATTGAATTCTTGCAAAGAATGTTATTACATATTTATCAAAATAATTGAATTCTTGCGAAGAATTGCAATTATTTCAAAAATTGTCAATTATTTGTTCATAAAAATTCAATTATCTTGAAACAATAAAATTGAAAAATTTCAAAAATCTTATTTTTCAGAATTTTCAAAAAAAAAATTGAATTTCAGTTAAAATTCACGGAGTTTGAAGTTCACAACGTTTATCAACGAAAAAAATTTATTTAATACTTTCAAGTATTATTTTTAATTTAATATTTAATTGTAAAATAATTATTATCAAAATATAAACATCAATCTTTTTTTTCTAAATATTTTTGTGTCAATATTGCTGCGAATTTTTAAATAATTTACTAAGTAAATAATTTTTTTCATTGATCAACGTTGTGGACTTTAACTTGGTTAAAATTCTACATAATAATTGAATATTAAAATCATTAGGGGAGAGTCTCCAGTTGTGAGACACCTCCAGTTGTGAGACAGTCAATTTTTTTTAACATGCAATATTAAAAAGCTGATTGGTTTATATAAAGACATTTCTTTTTATATGAGCCAACTATTTCGTGTACACCGAGGCGGATATATAAACTGTTTTTGTTAAATACCAACACTGTGTGTGATAATCGACTAAAAAGCGTTTTTTCAATAAATGCAAAGTACTTTTTTTGCAATTTAATTAATTGAAAAAGGTAAATGTAATGCATTTTCTTTTAGTGTTTTCCTTATATTTTGTGATGCAACATTGCATTGTTCCAATCTACGGTTGAAAATAATTTAATTTTCCTTTTTTAAAATAGCGCCAATTTCTGGGTGTGAGACACAGCATATCACCAGTTGTGAGACGGTGTCAACACCCATCTGGGCAGCATAAAAAATACTACTTTGCAGGCATACTATTTAAATGTTGTTTTGATTCTTTTTTCTAGTATTTTTGGGCATGTCAAGTGGAAAAAAGTCAATTGATTCAGAAGAAATCAATTTTAATGCTCTTGTTGAAGCTATTAAATTGTGTTTATTGGATAGTCATATTTTGGCGAATAAATATTATTATTTAGTATATAATAATATATATTATTAATATATTTAATTATTTATACTAAACATAACGTTTTATGTCAAACTTATTAAATTTTAGCAATTTTTAATGAGTGTCTCACAACTGGAGACATTTTTTTTTTTTGAAAAAAGCGATGTGCTCGGAAAATGTATCGTAAAATTTTTTGAGTTCATCGAAACACTATACTTTTTTTTAATAAAAGTTGCGTATTTCTGTTACCTTTCGAACGGTGTATTTTATTTACAATTTCGTTTGCCCGTTTACAATTTACGGGTCAAAAATGAAACCCGTCTCACAACTAGAGACTCTCCCCTATATTATGAATTTTTAGAAATAATTGAATTTTGAAAAGCTTTCAAATTAAAATCTTTGAAAATCTAAATTTTTCATACTATTTACTAAAAATTCTGTACAATTAATTTTTTTGAATAAGTTTGAATTTTTTTTTAAATTATTTATTTTCTATGATATATTTAATTGAAGAATTTCACAATAATCGAAATTTTTGGTAAAATTGAGTATCTAATAATTTTTAGAGTGAAGCAAAATATTCTCTAGTGTTAGAAAAAAAGTAAAAATTTTGTCTGGAAATCAGGGAAGAGGCAGAGAAAATGAAAATTAAATTTTTGTGGCAACACTGAATTTTTCTTAGATGTGGTTCATTGTTTTATGGGTGGTATAAAAGAAAACGTAAAAAATAAAAATATGAAAAAGAATGGTTTTGAAGAATTGTTGAAAGTGCATTTTGAAAAATAGAATTCTCACCATCCAAAGAGAGAGACATTGAGAAATGTATTAAAGGATATGTGTAGGTCTGTGTTTTGTAAGAGAGCACGATAGCGGATGAAAGTTTGAAATTTACAATGAAAAGAAAATTGGAATCGGGATTCTGGAAGCTTGGGTGATTAAGATTAATGAATTCAGTGGCGTTTTCACGTGCTTACCCGTTTGTAAATGGCCGTGTTGAAGACCACCAGTGCCGCAAATGGACAGGCATAGTAGACGAAGAAGTACAACCAGTGAACGTAAAGTGTAATATACAAACGATTCTCTCGCAAACTGGCTGCCATTACACAATAAACTTTAACTTTTTCCTTCCAGTGGATTTCATCTCTATATTCCACTTCCCAAAACCTAAATAGAGAACAGATTACATTTAAATTACTTTCCTCGTGAATATATTGTATATCTCATTCTAGAACTGACAATAATTCACTCGGAACAAAAGTTATTTGAAACAACTACCATTTTAGTTGAATCAACCAAATGCTCAGGGTTGCTACAAAAAATTCATTTTTTTCTCACTTTTCCCTGATCTGTGGCAACTCTGTTGTTATAAATATTTCTTTAATTCAACCAAATTTTTCAATTGAATATTTTTATATCAATTTACTTATTTTTTTAAACCTAACAATTTCTATTTTTAGAGGAGTTAGGATAAGATTTTTTCGAAATTGTGTATTTTTAACCTTTTGATTTAGGAATTATATAATATTTTTCTATTTTGAACTCTATTTTTATTTCCTTTTCAAGTTCTCGTGAATGTGTAGACAAGTTCTTCTATAAAAAAATTTAATTAAATTCAAATTTGATTACATTCCACTATAAGTGGTGTGTGAGTGTGAAAGAGTGAATTTATGATATTATTCATCGAGGTATTAATTTGGAAAAATGTATTTCTAATTTAGACAAATTAGTCAAGTTAATTAGGAGCAAGTGAGTTAGGAAATGTATATCCCATTAATTTTCTTCACTTGCAGCGAGACGAAAATTAATAAAAGATTAATCTAAATGTTTTACTCTTCAAAAATTATTACCCTTTTCTTTTACAAAGCGTATATTAAATATAAATTTATTTCTTAAATAGCAGAGCTCGAACTAGGTCCGCAAATTTCGTAAAGGTCCGTAAAAGTCAGTTTTTTTAAAAAAAAAGGTCCATAAAGTCCGTAATTTAATTTAAAAAAGACGAGAAGTTCGTAAATTGTATACGATATAATTTGGAGAATTTTAGAGAAATTACAAATGATTGCAAAAATTTGATTATTTTCAAAAGTAATAAAATTTCTTCGCAGAAATTCAACCAAGTTCAAAAATTAAAAAAAATTCTCATCATAATTTCAATTATCTTTAAAAATAATAAAATTCTTCTCTGAAAATAAATTATTTTCAAAAACTTTAATAAAATTCTTGACAAAATTTCAATTGTTTTCAAAAATTTTCCTCAAATCAATGATTTTGAATATCTACTATTTTAATAAAATTTTTAAAATAATTTAATTATTTAAAAGAATTTAAATAAAATTCTACGCAAACATTTAACTGTTTTCATAAAATAATACAAATTTCACAGGAATTCAATTATTTACAAATTTTTTATAAATTTCTTCGCAATAATTCAATTATTTTCATAAATAATAAAATTTTTACAGGGATTCAATTATTTTCGTACAAAATAAAATTATTGTAGGAATTCAATTTTTTTCATAAATAATAAAACTCATTGCAGAATTTCAAGTATTTTTAATACAATTTTAATCGAATACCTCGAAAAATGTAATTATTCTTAAAAATTTTATTAAAATTTGTCAAGAGAATTAAATTATTTAAAAATTTGTTGATAAAATTCTTAATGTGAATTCAATTTTAAGAAACAGTCAAATATTCAATAAATTATATTTTTTGTATTTAAATAATTGAGTTCTAGTAGAATTTTCTAATAAAAATTAATTTAAAAATGAATTATTAGTGTAAATAATAAAATTCTTTTTCGGAATTCAATTATTTTTATAAATATTAAATCTCATCGTAGAATTATTCTTAAAATTTCTAATAAAAATTCGTCAAATAATTCAATTATTTAAAGATTTGTTAATAAAATTTTTTATAAATTAAAATTTTAAGAAATAATCAATTATTCAATAAATTATTTATTTTTATATTCAACTTATTGAATCGTCGTAGAATTTTTTTATGAAAATTGATTTAAGAGTTAATGAAATTAATTATTAAGTAATAAATTTCTTCGCAGAAATTCAATTATGTTAAAAAATTACACAAAATTCTCCATAAAATTTCAATTATCTTTATAAATAATAAAAACTCTTCTTCGAAATTCAATTATTTTCAACAAAATTTCCTCATAATGATTTTCAATAAAAACAATTTTAGTAAAATTTTTCAAAAGTATTTCATAAAAATTCACTTAATTACAAATTTTTTTATAAATTTCTACACAATAATTTAATTTAATTATTATTTTCATAAATAATAAAACTCATCGCAGAATTTTAATTATTTTTAATACAATTTTAATCGAATTCCTCGAAAATTGTAATTATTTTTAAAAATTTTATTAAAAATCGCCAAGAGAATTCAATTATTTAAAAATCTGTTTATAAAAATTCTTAATGTGAATTGAATTTTAAGAAACATTCAATTATTGAATAAATTATTAATTTGCATTTTATTTGTATTTAAATAATTGAATTCTAGTAGAATTGTCTAATAAAAATTGATTTAAAAATGAATTTCAGTTAAAATTTGAGATAATAATTGAATATTAATAGCAATATATAGCGTGAACTTTTAGAAATAATTGAATTTTGAAATTAATTTTTCTTGAAAAAGTTTAATTGAATTTTTTTTTGTATTATTACTTCCTCATAGAGAAAGTATTGTAATACCAACATTTTTCGAGTTCGATTTTTTGACATATCTTTATGTTATTTGACCTCAGGGGTTCAAAAATGACATTTTTAGAAAATGTCATTCCGTATGACTGTGTGTGTTAACATCACATTTTCATAAATATCTCGAAATCACGAAGAGCTTTTGGGTTGAATTTTTTTTTAAATTGTAGATCTCACCTGCGGACATAAAGTGAGAGTACTTTCTGATAAATTAATAAAGTTTAACTAAATTTTTTTTTGATTTTTAATTTTGCAAAAAAACGTTTTTTGCCCATAACTTTAAAAAAATGTTAGGACACCTATAAATGTTTTTCCATAATTTTGTAGAGTTTTTTTAGACGCATCTTTTGAGCACTAATTGAACATTTTTCGTCCATATTAACCGGAGTTATTAAACTTTTAAAAATCAAAAATTTTGGAAAATAAGACTTTTTTGAAAATTTTGTTGAAAAACGTAGAAGTAACTTTAAAATAATCATTACTAACTTGTAGAGCATTAAAAAAACGCTTCGATTGACCTATTTTTGAACCTAATTCGATAATAAATTTCGAAATTACTGGTATTTTAAAAACCAAAAATTGTGAAAAATGACATTTTCTCAACTTTTTTGTTTGAAAATTTTTATTTAACTATTAAATTATTGCAACTATCTTGTAGGGTATTTAAAAATACATTTATTGACCCAAAATTCAATCACTTTTACCATATTTATAAAAAGTTTTTCATATATTTCTATTATTTTTATTCCTATGAGGAAGTAAAGTGTTCATGAAATGAGCACCAAAATTATAAAAAAAATATACAACTTGGCAGCGGTTTTTAAGTTTTTATTTTCTAATATATATTTAATTGAAGAAATTACGGATAATTGAAATTCATAAAATTGAATATAGTGAATAATTGGATTTGAAAATTGTCAAAGAACTTTTTCGAAAATTAATTGATTTAAAGAAGAATTTGAATTAAAAATTCTTAAAAGTAAGAATTGATTTGAAATGATGAAAATAATTCTGAAGAAAATTTCAATAAATTAAATATATTAAAATTTTTTTTACATATATTATTTGAATTGTTTTATTGTTTTATAGTTATGAAAAAATGTAATTTATAGTTTTAAGTAAATTTTCTTTCATTTGTTTCGGACTGATTATATTTTTGCCAGTAATTGGTCTGTAATTTTTCATTTTTGGTACGTCTTATTAAATGCTTTCCTTGGTTCGTGCCATGAAATAGAAAAGTTGAAAAAAATTTTTCTTCGATTGGAAAATTGAATTTTTTATTTTGAAAATAAATTATGATAAAATAGAGGGTAAAAATTTCTTGTAAATTGAAGTCTGACACTAACTGTGTATATATACATATATAGTGAGAAGAGAAACGAACGAGATTCTGATCTTTTCTAATGTCAGGAAAGTGGAAAATACTGCCGACTAGTGAAGCAATAACGTTTATTCGAAGTGAATTCTCTCAATCGGAAAATTCAATTCGAGAATGTGAGTTTTTTTACATTTTATTATTTTTTTTTTTTTTTTTTTTTTTTTTGAATGAAAAGAAAAGGAAAAAAAGAAAATATTATGCTCTAACCTGGGCAGGTTGTAAAGAAATGACACGATGACAATGCATATCACAGCTGCTCTTGCACGCCCATACGTGCAGAGTGACCTTGCTCTTAGGGGATGACATACGGCTACATAACGCTCCATGGTCACGGTCAAGGTCAAATAAACCGTCACCATTTGCGCTGCCAGGGATATTGGATACAAGTACTTGACAATTTTTGGAAATACGTAGAACTTGTAATCGAACATATAGCCGGTGTATGAATAAATTGCTGGCAAACCGTGAATCATCACCTGTAACAGAAAGTTTGTTTTTTTAATTTTTATTTTTTCATGATTGTCGTCGCGTATCTGGAAATAAGACATTTTATTTATTTTAAATTTAAATTTTATTTAGTTTAAATAAAACTATTGAATGTTTTCGAATAATTTACTTACAGTAATAAATAAAAATATAGTATAATTTCAGGGTGTCTACTAACCGGGAAATCCGGGAAATAGCCGAGAAAAACCGGGAATAGGCCAGGAATTTTATGCCAAACCGGGAATTTTTTCACCAAATTAAAAAAAGTTTTATTACTTTAATTTGTTTTTAAAAAATCGCTTTTTATTTCAATTTTTATAGATATTTATATACTGTTCTCTAAATTTGAATTAATTAAAAATAATTAATTTGATATTAAACAATCAGTCACTGATTGAAATACAGTATGTAAATAAATTTAAAAAAAATTATCGAACTAGTAGAAATTTTGTGACATTCAACTGAAAATAATTAAATTTGTTAAAGAATTTCATTAAAAACTTTTTGACAAATCGAATTTTCAAAGTATTTTAATTTAATAATTGATAAATAATTGAATTTTATAAAGAGTCACATTCTAATGTATTCATGTTTCTTTGTGCGAAGATTCATAATTAAAATTTTTATTAGTTAACTTAAAAAAAGATACACACTCTTACAATTTTTTTAATAAAATTGAATTTTCGCAAAGTTTTTTTGAAAATTCTAAAAAATAAGATTTTTGAAATTTTTCAATTCTATTGTTTCAAGATAATAAATAAATAATAAAGATATAAAAATTGTTTTAAAAATGAATATCAGTTAAAATTTTAGATAATAATTGAATATTAAAAGCATTATTGCATTATTTAGGTTCGAAATCAAATAAATTAAAATTTTTGATGAGAAAAAAAAAACCGTGAAAAATTAGGACAAAGCCGGGAATTTTGTTGAACGAAAATAGTAGACACCCTGAATTTGCAATACATATTATAAATATACGGCAAAATTTGTTACTGTGCTTCTTTTGAAATTGATTTTAGTGACGTATAAAAAAAAGCGAGAGATCACTTGAGTCTTATTTTTGGAAAAAAATCAGTAACTTTTGAAAATAAAGAAAAGTGTTGCGGATAATGGGTACATTTTTATCCGACACCTGCTGCCTTTACGTTTCAGAAAAGCAACGCTTTAGTCTCGTTAATCCAAGATTTATGTTCGGTTACGATGCAACCAGTCAGATCGCACACTATTATAACGACATGAAAAGCTTCTTTGTCGAGGCTTAACATTATAATTGATACGACTCAAAAAAATCACTCGGAATTTCTTGAATTTTACGAAAATTTAAATATTACCCACACATTTAAAGAGTGGAATTTAAAATTTACGTTCAGAAAAATTCACGAACGTTCAAATGAAGAAAATAATTTTTCAATTTAAATATATTTTCAAAAAAAAAAATTACTGTTCGTGACTTTTTTTTAAAACTTGCTACTATATTGTATTTCTTTATAATTTTATATTATTCTTTTTTACTAGCAACAACTTCTTGTTAACGAACAACTTGCTTACTTCTTACTACCTTTTTAAAATAAAATTAGCAATTTTAAAAATAATAGAATTTGAAAATTTTCTAATTTAAATTTTTGTTGAAAACACTAAAAAAATTCAATATTGGAGTAATTACAAATAATTGCAGAAATTCAATTATTTTCAACAAAAAAAATTCTTCCTATAAAATTCAACTATGTTCAAAATTTTAAAAAAATTCTCGTAAAAATCCTAATTATCTTTATAAATAACAAAATTCTTCTCCAAAGTTCAAATTATTTTCATAAATGTCAAAACAATTCTTGTCCTAATTTTAATTATTTTCAAAAAATGTTCTAATTTAAATAAATTTCAATATCTACTATTTTAATAAAATTTCCCAAAAAGAATTCAATTATTTTCATAAATAATAACATTTTCTTATAAGGAATTAAATTATTTTCATAAATAATAACATTTTCTTATAAGGAATTCAATTATTTTTGTAAAAAATAATTTAAATTTTAGAAAATAATAATTGAATTAAAATGATGAAAATAATTTTGATAAAGTTACAGTAACAATATTCTTATAATAATTTAAAATAATGATTTTATTACTTGGTCATCTTTAATTATTAGAAAACATGAAGAAATCGATCACTCCGAGTCGAAGACTCGAAGCAATCGATATCTTCATGTTTTCCAACAATTTTTTATATTTTGTTTAATTTCAAAAAGGTTTGAATTTAAAATTTTTAAATTTCTTAATTCCTCTGGAAAATCCTTTTCAAAAATGAAGATTAAAAATAGGAATTTTGCAAATATTTTTCTTCTTTTTCTAAAACACAATAATATTTTGTTAAAAAAATTGTGATTCATAAACAAAAATAATGCAAAATAAATAAATTTTCTATTTTTAATCACAGTTGTTTAACAATTTTCTTATTTTGTTTAGAAGTAAGGAACAAAAATCTGCATAATTTCAATTTGACAAAACATAATATTTAATAAAATTTTAGTCTTTTAATGAAAAGAAGTGAAAAAGTTCTGATGATTTCTATTTGTCATTACAATTTTGAATTAATTATAAAATAAAAATAACTGTAACATTAATTAATTAATTATTAATTAATAATAATAAAGTACATGTTTCGGTAACCTGTTAACAATTTGAAGTTAGTTGTTGTTTGCTTTTTGTTTTTTACCTTTTTTATAATTTTTTTTTTTCAAATATTTTCAATTTTTAAATCATTATATTGAAAATCATCGAATTGTTGCAAAGAATTTTATCAAAAAATGTGATAATAATAGAATTCCTTCAAATAATTTTACTATTTAGTGGAAAATAACTGAATTCTCGCAAAGAATTTTATTAAAAATTTTAAAAATCCTAATTAAATTCTTTTGAAGAATTTCTTTGAATTTTTTTTAAACTAATGGAGTTTCTTTAATAGTTTTAATTGAAAATTTTATGAAAGAAGAATTTTATTAAAAGTGAATTGAAAATAATTGAATTCTTGCGAAGAATTTTTTTTTTTAAATAATTGAATTGTTTGGATGAATTTATTAAAATTTTAGGAAATAATTGAAATTTATGGAAAATTTAAAAATATTTGAATTCATCCGAGGAATCCAATTAAAATTGTTTTGAAAATTATTGAATTCCTGCAAAGAATTTTACTATTTATAAAAATAATTGCATTATTGCGAAGAATTTTACTATTAATAAAAATAATTGAAATGTTTCGAAGAATTTATTAAAATTTTAAGAAATAATTAAATTGTTATAAAGAATTTTATCGAAATATTTGAAAATAAAGAAATTTTTTCGAGAAATTCAATTAAAGTTGTTTCGAAAATAATTGAATTTCTTTAAAGAATTTTATTAAAATTAAGCATATTCAAAATAATTAAATTAATCACAAGAATTTTATTATTTTTTGAAAATAATTGAATTCTTTCAATTTTTTTGACGAATATATTTAAAAATTGCATTGAAAGTAATTTTATTTTTATATAGCAGTTTTTAAAAATATTTATATTTATATTTTTTATATTTATATTGCATTTTATGGAAATGTTTGAAAATAATTAAATTCTTTCATGTAATTTTATTTAAATTTGATTAAAAATAATTTAATTCCTGCAAAGAATTTTAGTATTCATAAAAATAGTTGAATTGATTTGAAGAATTTATTAAAATTTTAGGAAATAATTGAAATTTATGGAAATATTTTAAAATATTTGAATTCATCCGAGGAATTCAATTAAAATTGTTTTGAAAACAGTTGAATTGATGCAAAGAATTTTACTATTTATTAAATTAATTGAATTCTTGCGAAGAATTTTACTATTTATAAAAAAAATTAAATTTTTTCGAAGGATTTATTAAAATTCTAGAAAATATCAACAGTAATAATTAATTATGTACTTAATAAGTTAATTTTTAAAATTTTGATTATGAAATTATTTAAAAAATTTATAATTGTAAATAAAAAATTTTGTAATTTGCATAACAATAATAAATTGAATATTACGTTCCGCGCGTAATATTTGCTAGTAATAATATACAATTTATCTAAAGATAACAAAAAACAAAAGTATATGAACAAAAGACAACTTCAGATTGTGAGGGACAGAAAAAGTGAATGAATGAAAGAACATTCAAATTATTATAGTTAATAATATTAATAATTTTTAAATACAAATTATTATATTTTTATTATAATATATAATTTGCTTTAAAATTCGTATATAATTTTTGAAAAATTAGTTTTTATGAAATGACGCAATATTATTGCAGTAAAATTTAAATTGAAAATAAATCAATTTTGTTAATTTGAAGTTTCAAATGTTTAGAGACATAATTTGATGAAAATACAATATCACTCTCATAAATATTGTTCAATTTTGATTTATGTTTACACAAATCGATAACTAAATATTCTATTCGGTTTTCGAATATATCTTGAAATGCCTCCCAAATGTAATCCTATATAATTCTAACAGAATAGCACGAAACGTGTATAAATTATAGTCAAAACAAATATCTTACAAAGGGCTCACTCTCGAGAATTATCTTCTCATTTACAAATTTAGAAATTTATGTTCATAGACATTTTATATATATGTTCATTTTTGTATAAAAGAAGAATAAAATTAATCTTTAAATTAAACAAATTTTTAAATACTCGGAAAAATTGTATAAAATAAGTATAATCACAATTGATTTAATCAAATAAGTTTATTCGCGTGGAGGATAAAAATGTAATTTGAATTTTTCTTGCAATAAATAAATAGTTTATTTGAAAAAAAATGTTGAAAATATTATTTATGAGTTATTTTCTTTTTATTTCTAAAATGCTATACAAAAATGGGTCAAAGGAAATTGAGCTTACATTATTTGCAAAAAGAGGTCAATTCCAATGTGTTGTAATATAGAAAGAAGGGAAGAGAGTCATCAAGTAGTAACCGTCTGT